GAGATTTGAACAGCCGAACTGCAGAACTGCAGTCAGCTGAAGTAGCCTGCAATGCTGCATTTAACCACTGTGCCACCTCGGCTCCTGTTTGGTATAATTGGTTGATCATGCACCTGCCTATAATCCTGCAAAATCCCTGACTTTGTGCAAGTGTACCTATTAAAATTGATGCTGGTTTGAAGGCAAAAGGTGGTCACTCCAAATATTGATTTGATGTAGATTTTTCTTTTGTTTGCTCACTTTGCATTTTGAAAATTGACAAAAATAAACAATCATCATTTATATTTCTGAAAGCGTTGTTTACAGCATTTTTTCACGCCTGCCTACAACTTTTGCACAGTACTGTACGTTATGACATTTATATCCAACTAGCTAAATACTCGTGCTCTGCTACGAAACTATGTGATTGGGTTTAATAAATCGACACTTACAGCTTGAAAATTAAAGAGTAGCTAAGATCGGCCTCTCCTCTCCCCTTCTCTCCCTCAGGATTGCCCCACAGAGACCTCCATCTCATCCCCTTCTCTCCCTCAGGCTTTCCATACAGAAACCTCTCCTTTCATATCCCCCTTCTCTCCCTCAAACTGGTCCCATTGATGCTCTCCTATCCTCTTCTCTCGCTCAAGCTTGCCCCAGAGGCCTCTCCTATCTTATCCCCTTCTCTCCCTCAATCTAACTCCTTCGCATCAGAGTGTTTTTCGGGTGAGGAGGGGGTTGAAAATGCCTGAACCCCCCAACCGCAAGCTGGATGAGTCACGCGCTGCCCATGCCTATGTGGCAGATGAAACAGATTTCGTCTAACTCCTTAGCATCAGAGCGTGTTAATAATAATATAAGAAATACTGATGATCTGATGGTCATTTCAGAAAAATCCTTTCTTAGCGAGCACCCAGAAGCCAAGAGGAACACACGTGCCAAATTTCAAGTTTGTAGGCTTTACTGTTCTGGAGATTTCGTGATGATGCACGAGTTATATTTCGCTTTTATAGAGAGAGCGATTTAAAGATATGCATAAACAACAATGGTTGATTTGCTTACTGTGCTTGGTCGTGTTTCATTTAAGAACAATTTACTGAATATATCAAAATCTCTTGGGTGGACCTATCAAGCTATACAAATATAAAGTCTACCTACTGTACTATGTGGACTGATGTGTTGTATGAACCAAGGAAGCCACTGGCCAGGTGAAATAAAAGCCCGTAAAATAACCTACCATCCAAAATCGACATCGTTTTTGTAGGCGTAGATGCAGGCTTATACGTTCTGCAGCTGCCAGCCTGATCACGGCTGGCACTTCCTGTAAAAAATACAACAGAGAGTAAACGTTTACATTTACATCACTTCTTCATCAATTATTTTTAAAAAAAATTTTTTTTTCAAAACAAACACAGCACATAAAATCCTCCTTCCTTACATACTGTAGAAAGTGTATCAGTTTGTTACAAAAGGTTTTTGTGCATCTCTTCCACAGTCATCAAGCATAATT